CCCTCTGATCCGCCACTGCTGACTGGCGGATCGGATACCAGAATGCCCGTATGGTCAGTCTGCCCCTGGTACCCACCCTCCTTTCTTCTGTAGTCATGTTTGACGGAGGTGGTTTGGCACTGGCCAGGACTGCGGACACTGTTAGGCGAAGTTGTTCAGCCTCACCCTGTGGCACTTTGCTACTGTGGATCGAGGCCTCAGTGATTGAGATAATATCCACTACAGGGATGGTTCTTGGTGTGGTTGTTCAATTTAACCCCTTAGCAAGGACATCCATCTTGTGCTGGGTGAGAACCCTGTCTGAAAGGTTCTTCACCCATTTCTATTTGTTTTGCAATGTCCCGGTTCCTCCTTCTGCCTCCAAGTTAATTCCTCCCTAGGATGGCTGTTTCCAGTTCAGGATAACAAAATGGAGAACTTGTTCTGCTGCCTCTCCTTGCCCTTAGGCCCCGTTCACATTGAGCGATTTATCGCGCGGTAATTCCCGTGATATCACGGCTATTTACCGTGCGATATCGCTCTTCAATGCATCTCAATGGGGCAAAGGGTCCTGCTGTCGCGGGTTGTGTGTCGCTACAGCAGGACCCTTTTTGGAGCGGATTTTGCCGCGATTCTCGCTTGCTCAATGCAAGCATTTGCGCGATATCGCGCAAAATGCAAATTGCGCGACAAACGCGCGATTTGCGAATCGCGCAATGTGAACGGGGCCTAAGTGTGCTGAGCTATCTATGCGTGTATCGTGAAATCTGCTACTCTCTTCTAAGTATGGATGAACGGTGAAACGCCTTCAAGAAAAATACAGCCAGTCCAGTTGCCTTGATTTATTTTAGACAGATATCCCATGACCTGGAGGAATGAGAACCTTCACAGACATATTCAGTTTGGTGCAGTACACTTGGCACACAGCTACTATTCCATTTCTCATTGGATCCCCGCTGCCTCTGCCCATACAGGTGGGGAGAGCAACGGGGATCCGAGAAGAAGCTGGAGCCTGTGCCGCCCCTCTTCTCCCTACCGAGCCGCAGCTGTGTTGGCTGCCTGGCGCCCGTGTTTCCATGGCACCCTGTGCTTGCCATGACAACAGAGGCGAGGGGGCACAGCCAGGACGTCCTGGCTGCGCCCCCTCTTAGCTGCGCCTGAGGCGAGGGCCTCACTCGGCCCATGGTAGCTATAGCCCTGCAGTCCAGTATAGGAGGGTGCTGATAGTATACCAGTATGCCCATAACTACAGAGCCATCATGGGGTTAATGTTTCAGTCTAGTATAGGTTAGTGCTGATAGTATACCAGTGTGCCCATAACTACAGAGCCATCATGGTGTGAATGTTTCAGTCTAGTATAGGTGGGTACTGATAGTATACAGTGTGCCCTTAACTACAGAGCCATCATGGGGTTTAGGTTTCAGGTGGGTGCTGATAGTATACTAGTGTGCCCATAACTACAGAGCCATCATGGAGTTAATGTTTCAGTCCAGTATAGGTGGGTGCCCATAATTACAGAGCCAGCCATCATGGGGTTAATGTTTCAGTCCAGTATAGGTTAGTGCTGATAGTATACCAGTGTGCCCATAACTACAGAGCCATCATGGGGTTAATGTTTCAGTCCAGTAGAGGTGGGTGCTGATAGTATACCAGTGTGCCCAACACTACACAGCCATCATGGGGTTAATGTTTCAGTCCAGTATAGGTGGGTGCTGATAGTATACCAGTGTGCCCATAACTACAGAGCCATCATGGGGTTAATGTTTCAGTCCAGTAGAGGTGGGTGCTGATGGTACACCAGTGTGCCCATAACTACAGAGCCATCATGGGGCTAATGTTTCAGTCCAGTATAGGTGGGTGCTGATAGTATACCAGTGTGCCCATGATTACAGAGCCAGCCATCATGGGGTTAATGTTTCAGCCCAGGAGAGGTGGGTGTTGATAGTACACCAGTGTGCCCATAACTACAGAGCCATCATTGGGTAAATGTTTCAGTCCAGTATAGGTGGGTGCTGATAGTATACCAGGGTGCCCATAACTACAGAGCCATCATGGGTTTAATGTTTCAGTCCAGTAGAGGTGGGTGCTGATGCTGATAGTATACCAGGGTGCCCATAACTACAGAGCCATCCATTATGGGGTTAATGTTTCAGTCCAGTAGTGGGGGCGGAGACTATTCAACAAGAGCGAACGTCTTCCTGTTGCAACACAGATCTAGAGCTACACGCTGAAGGGTGCGCCCCCCCTGAGCAATGACGCTGATTGGCCGAGAAGCGAAGTTTGCTTTTTGACGATTGGCTCCTTACACTGACAGCTCTCCGTGCATACACCAAGCACTCGGCTGATGTGGAACCAGTGAAGCGCCAGCCAATAGGCTTGTGTGTACAGTACTATGCAGATGAATATCCCTCCGCCGAGCCTCGTCATCTCCGTGAGCCCCGCCCCCTCAGTGTGTGTGTGTGTGTGTGTGTGTGTGTGTATGAAATGAATGAGAAGTTGTGATCTCTGGCGTTCCTGGAAATGTCACGTAGTTACTGAATAACCTGGAATCCGGACTAGTTGTCACCTCCGCCTAGATAATGATCAGCCATATGACGCATCGTGCTTCTATTCTGCTTCGTCATAGTTACTGTGTACCATGAACTAATATAATGTAAACAAACGTGAAGTAGATGACTCCCCCAGATGTCCCTCATGTGGAACCAAATCCCTCTGTTCCTATCTCATCCACTGTTGTCACTCTATGGTTTTGATGTATACACTTCTATATAAAATGATTTATTTCTATAAAAGCAGAACTAAACTCCCCTCACGATGCTGTCATATTCCTCTTCCAGGTCCGGGATCTTTGGCTATCTTGCACGGGGAAGGTTGCATACAGACAGGTAAGTTGTTTTGTTCATTGCAGAAGAGGAATAGCACACATTTTCTACACTAGAGCCTGCTTGCTCCCAATTAAAGTTCAATTCCACCTTACCTCCCAATTGTCCTTCACTGGGAGGGACAAATCCCTCTGTCATCCTCAGTTGTCCCTCTTTTCGGTCCCGTGTACATAAATCTCAATTGAAGCAAATGTATTTATATCATCAAAAGTGTTTTACTACACTCTCCTATCCCTTCCAGCCAAGGAATGTGCCATCTTAGCCTCTATTGGGATTGTGGTTGCCATGCTGCTGCACATGTGATCAGCTATGACACCAGCCATGAGGGCTTGAATGTTTGGTTGAGAGCTGAAATAAGAACACTAGCAACCTTGACAGTTGCCAAATAACTATTTCAGGAGACATTAAATTGGTGGGTAAAGTTCCTCTTTAACCTTTTATCCAGCCACTAAATCGGGGTAGTCAAACTCCAACCCTCCAGCTGTGGTGAAACTACAAATCTCGTCATGCCTGTGGCTGTCTGGGTCATGCAGTGCCTCATGGGATTTGTAGTTGCACCCTAGCTGGAGGGCTGGGGTTTGCCTACCCCTGCTCTAAATAATTGCATTTGTTATAATGGAAAATAAGTGGTGGAAAAGCAGCACTTGTGGGTTTAATCAATCACTATTTGCGTATTTATTCTTTGTAATCAATATAAAAAAGCCATCTGCACTCCATACAGCATATAGACCTTCACGGAAGTTTGGTGCTTGAAGTGACAACACGCCCGACAGTATCAGGAGAGAGGAGGGGACCCGGCGGCATACCTTATCCCGCCGGGTGACTGTCCTCTCCTCTCTCTGCCGGCGTCCATCACCAAGATGGGCGACGGCAGGTATCAGAATACGTCATCGCGCACGCGCAGTGACGTCTCGGCGGGGTGACACTTGGTTACCGCTCCGGGTGTCACCCAGCTTCGGGACGCCCCTGACAACACGGATGGCACCGTGTTGTCACAAGCGTCATAAAGCCAAGGTTTTGGGGCCACATAGTGACCTAGTCGCCCGGAAGAAGGGACCCGGCGTGGCCCCAAAACGTTGGCTTTATGACGCTTGTGACAATTCAATAAAAGTGCTTATACTTCTCGCACATATTAAGTGCTGGTGACGTCTATTATTGACTTCATTCTTTGCATCACTGGAGGTGTGGCAGGGCGTGTGTCCTTATATAGATGGCAATAAAGATGTACTCTAAGGTATCCATCTTTATTGCCTCAGAAAGTTGGGCGGTTTGCACTGTACAATGTACATGCACAATTTTGGCATATGCCAAGATAAATAAGCTCCCGCACATCACCGGAGTTCTTTCATCCCATTGTGGCCATTGAAGGTAGCCGAAGATTCTATAGACGGAAGAAGACCAGGCAATGATGTCTAGGGAGGGAGCCTACGGACATTTCCACACTGGAGATGTGGTGAATATTATTCCACTTTAATTAACGTTTCTATGGCGAGGGGCATTTTACATTTGGACTAATAAACTTATGTTGCAGTCATGAAGGGGTTAAGATACATTTAGTCTATGGCTGGTTAGTGCATTCTCATTATTTCTAGGATGGAATTGCACTTTAAAGCTGCACACACACCAGCACTACAATGCACAGCCGCTGGTGTGCGTCACCAATCACAGTGCCGATGCGCCAATCCAGGTGCATAACACTGTTTACATTGTTTTTTTGTCAGAACTTTATTGAAATGTCACAAGTGACATTTCATTAAGTTGTATAGACACATTGCTGCATGCTGTACTTTTTTTTTTTCCCTGTGCAATGCAGTGGTATGAACTGTGCCCATCGGTGACACGCTACATTGCCTTGCCTAGCCGTGCAGGAAAAAACGGCCAGCACAGCCCCAATACATTTGGTGTGAATCAAGCCGAAGTCTCTTTCTGACCTCAGTTCACCCTATAGACTGAAACATATTCCTGGTTTTACCTACATTTACAATAGGGATCATTTCCAAAGTGGCTTTTATAAAGTACACAGGCATTAAAAAGTGAATGTGTATGTCCTAAACCTAAAGCAAAGCACTTGAGCTGATTTAGTGTCAGGAACTACTTTGTGAGCGGAGGGATACAGCTCCCTCCTGTACATGTAAATAAGAGCGTGTCAAACTGTTGCAGGCACAGAGAAGTGCAGCCACACAAGGAAATTCAGCATGTCCAAGAAGGAGGATTCGATGGAGGAGATCATGGAGTCCAAAGTGATGTGGTACCCCGATAGCAAGAAAATCACACAGATGGACCAGTTCAGAGCCAGGGTCAACAAGAATTTTGGGCTCAGTCTGGGTGAGTGACAGCAGAGGATGTAAATACACAGGGAGGGACATATGATGGCTCTGAACGTCCCAAAGTAACATGACATCTGCTACAAACTAAACAATTAGCCCCACACGAGCCATCAAATGGGCAAATATATGATGTCCCCCCCCTTAAGGGCCCGTGCACAATTCTGTTTTTATAGCTGCATACAGACGTTTTTCAGATGCACTTGTTCATTGTGTTTGTAAAGAACATTAGAGTACAGTTTAGTTTATTCATATATTTCCCTTTCTGTTATTATAAATAAGTGTAATTTTCATGTTATTTATAAATCAAAATCTGCAAAAATGCATACATTGTTTTGTTACCTAAAGCTGTTAAAATACACAGTATATGTGTATATATACACAGTATATGTGTTATATATATTTGTATATATAACACATATACTGTGTATATATATATATATATACACATATACTGTATATACGTATATACACACACATAATTTACAGTGTGTGTGTGTATATATATATATATCTATCTATCTATATATGTATATAGATATATATTAGGGATACACTAATACCATTTTTTTAACGAGTACCAATACTTTTCCTCAAGTACTCGCCAATGCCAACTACCGATACTTTTTTTTTTAGTGTAATGTGACAGTTTTTTCTAAAACAATACAGATTTATGATTTATATGACTGAGGTGGAGAGCCAGGGCCTGCTCGCGGCTGCCACTGACTCCAAGCTGTAGAGGGACTACAAATCCCACTAATACATTATACAGCAATGTAAAATAATACCATCAGCTAGAGAGAACTACAAATCCCATCAAAACATTATACATCAATGCAGAAAAATAAGAAGCTACATACTCTGTGTTGCTCACCAGGGCTATGCGGTATCTCGGGAGGCTGTGCGGGGCTCACTAGGGCTGTGTGCAGGGTCTCACCAGGGATGTGCAGTCTCACCAGTGCTGAGCGCGGTCTCACCAGCGCTATATGCGTGTCTTACTATGGCTGTGCAAACTCACCAGGGCTTGCGTGTGGGTCTCACCATGGCTACGCGGTCTCACCAGGGTTGTCAGGTCTCACCATGGCTTTGTGGGCAGCAGGTCTCACCATGGCTGTTCGGGCGGGTGTGTTGGTGGGCCTTTCCAGTGCTGTGCGGGCGTCTGCAGGTCTCCCCATGGCTGTGCAGGCAGCGGGAAGGAGATATTTGGCCAGACAGGTGCTGCAAGTGTGGAACCTTACAGCAGCTGAAGTAATTTAACAATATAAGGGACCAGTATCAGCTTTAAGTATCGTGGCATTTTCACGAGTGCAAGTACTCGTAAAATTGCCCAGTATTGGCACCAATACTGATACTAGTATTGGTATCGGCGCATCCCTAAAATATATATAATTGTCCAACATTGTCCAAGTTTGTCTATTCCAGCTCTTTTCTGTCTGCAAAATTGCAGTTTGTCCCATAAGAAAAAAAAAGAAACTTCCTGGTGACAATGCTGCTTTTCTGTGCCCTGCATGCAGTGGCAGTGATGTCACCCTAAGTGTGAGTATCAACACACCCACCATCATCTTCCAATGAGAACTTCAAATCTCCCTCCGGACCGCCCATCACAGATGTGATTGACAGCGGAAACCCCGAGTGAGGATTATCAGCTGCTTCAGTCAGTCAGTGCAATGAATGGGTGCACGCACTAACCGGAAGTGATGGCAGTGAAGTACATGGTGACAAGGAAAAAAGTTTAAAAAATTGAGCGTGCCTCTGTATGTATGTGTGTATGCATATGTGTACTCATATACAGTATCTATTAGCGATGCACCGAAATTCCCGTCGCTAAAATATATTTGCCGAAAATAGTACTAAATGGGGGTGTATTCATGCTTTCTCTCCTCCCCTCTGGGCGTTGTTCTGTGTCTCCTCTGACACAGAGCAGTGGCCAGCAGGGAAGAGAGAAACTTTCAGGAGGCTGAGCAGGGCGGGGCGGAGAGTGCTGTCAGCCTTCAGGGTCACAGGAGGCCGAGTTCTCCTCCCCTCCTGTGACAACAAATCAGGATGGAGAGTGGTGTGGGGGAGGAGACAGCTGTCACAGGAGGCCGAACCAGCGGGGCGGGGGAGGAGTCTGGTGTCAGAAGAGCCTGAGCTCTTCTGCCCGCACCACCCACTCAGCCTCCTGTGAAAGCCGACGGAGTCAGGATGGAGAGCGGTTACAGGCACTCAATGATCAGCTGATCGCTGAGTGTTTTGTAATTAATTGAGGACATAATATGTTTACTGTGTCCCCAATTTTGAATGAACAGGAAGTTCTTTACATAACTTCCTGTTCATTCTTGATTGTGGACATGGTAACTAATACTATCTCCACAATTTATGAATGGACAGGAGCACTCAGTATAGAGGATTCCTGTTCATTGATAACTGGGGCTGCAGACAATTGTCCTAAATCTCTTTTTCTATTTCAAAAGGGAAATATCAGGGGTCTATTTAGACTCTTGATATTTCCCCAAAGCTCCTAAAAGTAAAGCAAAAAACAAATAAATATATGTATAAAACAAATGTAAAAAGGAAAGCAAACAAAATAATTTTTGTTTTCAGCCTGACAAATTTCTTATTTTCGGGATTTGGTCCGAGAGCTAATAGCTTTTAGCAACCAGGGACGCTCTGGCCAGAAAGGGGGGGCAGGCACACTTGCCCCCACCCTTCCCCCACGTGACCCAATTAGATGCCTTAGGCCTGGATCACACCTGGGCGTTTTTCAGCGCTGATCGGAGCGCTGAAAAACACTCAACAAGTGAAATCCTATTAATTGCTATGGGCATGGTTCCCACCTGGGCGTATTTCAGCGCGTTTTGTCGCGCTGAAATACGCCCTATGCGCGATCAAGTACATGAGCTTCTTTTGGGGCAGATTACAGCGCGCATCCATTGGACTACTTTATATAGATTTCGTAAACGCGAAATCTAGAACACACATATTACGAACGCCCAGGTGTGAACCCAGGCTAAGAAAGCTGCCTCATTACAGGGACGGCCCTGGATGGCCCTGGAATCTCTACCATTTCTTATTGTGTTTAGACAGCTGGTGCCCACTGCTGCTGAATACCCGAACAGCAAAAGCATCTGAATGGATGCAGTCTCTGCTAGACAATTTAGCACCAGGTTCCTTCAATTTTTCAGTCAGAGTTTTTTCAGAGTGTATCGAGATTGTTGATGTCCCCAGAACAGGAATACGGGGAAATCTTCCAATGGGAACAGTTAAACCCATCACAGCTGTGTAAAGGTGGCCATACACCTTACAACCATCGCACAACTTCAGTTGTGCGATGGTTGTAAGGTGATTAAAATTTCGACGACCTGCCCATCATGGACAGGCAGATCGTACTTGCGATCATCGCAAGTCCTCCGCACTGAGCGGAGGGCTTGCAGATGATTGCAATGACGAGCGGGCAGTGTTCGCTTCGCACCTCAGGTCGCGCGGCTTTCGTCTTGCAATCGCGCTACCAGCCTGCCGAAAATCATATGATTTTCGGCGGGTTTTCTAGAGTGCTCGTTATACGAAAATCGTAGTTACTGTAGTTACTGTACGGTCGCACGCTGCCCATACACCCTACGATTATCGCACGGTCGCGTTATCACCCGCGATTATCGTACGACAATCGTCAGGTGTATGGGCATCTTAAGAGGGGATTTCCCTCTCATTGGAAAGATATCCTCTCACTTCTGCTGAGTCTACAGGACAGGAAGTGAAGGGAATTCTCCCTGATGAGACACAGATGGCAAAAAAACACTGACAGCGGTTTTAGCCCTCCCTTACTTTATCCAAAATGGGAAAACAAAAGGTTTTGGCTTTAGATAAACTTTAAGCTGAATAGACCTGGGTCAAAATAAATACATAACATAATCATATACCAGCACAATCACACATTAAAGGAGAACTATGACATGAGTGATTTCCACTCACCTCATAGTTCTAAGCCGACCTGTGACAATGAGACTGTCACAGGTCGGCTCAGTAGATCGGGAGGTGAGGGAACACATACCGGGTTCCCTCACCTCTCGATCCTGTCACGGCTCTCTGCCGCGACAATCTCCTTTAAATAATAATACTAGCAGAGTGATAATATTGTGTATATGTGAGAAATGTGTAACAGGACTGTTGGAAGAACTATGTAAACTCAGGCCCCATTCACACTGAGCGATTTATCGAGTGATTTTTGCAGCGATATCGCTCATATTTCCACGCGATATCGCTCTATGTAGCTTCTCCAATCCATTTCAATGGAGCTGTTCACATCTCGCCTCTCAATATCGCTTGTAGCTCGTCGCTGGTAGCTTGTCGTTCCTACATGACCCTTTTTTCGAGCGATTTCGAGCGATATTGCTCCTGATTGCATACAGCCCAATAGGAAAAAGTCGCGCGACACGTCGCTCAATATCGTTCGTCGCGCAATATCGCTCAAAATCGCTCGATTTTCATGTCGCTCAGTGTGAATGGGGCCTTAATGTAAGAAACCGTGCAAGACCCATTCACACTGCGCGATTCGCAAATCGCGCGTTTGTCACGCGATTTGCATTTTGCGCGGTATCGCTCGATTTGTCGCGCAAATGCTTGCATTGAGCAAGCTTGAATCGCGGCTAAATCCGCTCCAAAAAGGGTCCTGCTGTAGCGACGCACGACCCGCGACAGCAGGACCCTTGGCCCCATTGAGAAGCATTGGAGAGCGATATCGCCCGGTAAATTGCCGCGATATCGCGGGAATTACCGCGCGATAAATCGCTAAGTGTAAACGGGGCCTTACTGTGACATCAGCAGAGGAGCGGACGTGAGAGAGAAAGTTCTCTCTTAGGTCCCCGCCTCTGCTGATTGACGGCAGGCAGTGGGCGGATACAAAAGCCAGCCTACTATTGGCTACTGCAATGTGAAATAGCCAATAGCAGGCTGGCTACTGCTCCCGCCCACTGCCTGCTGTTTACTTTCAGCTGCCATTTGTGGTATCTAGCCGCTGGCAGATGA